AACTCTTTAAAAATAACAAAAACACCTAGACGTTACGCTCTTAGAAGTAGACCTTACTAAATTTTGTAAAACATTTTGAAAAAGTAAATGTATTCTAAAACTGAAATATTGTGCAAACATTTACCTGCAAAGCCCGCTCTTTCCACCCGCGCGAAAAGATCCGTGTACGAATATGTTGTACTTTAATATATGCATGTACCCGCAAAGCCACGCGCCTGATTTTAAGGTATACACCTGCGTTAAAAATATTCCCTATCTATCCATCGGGATACACTTAGTTATGCAAATTCGTATTGCCTTAATCCCCTTAATTACCTACACGCCTCCTAATGACTTAGCAACACATAACAACGCAACATTTGCAAAGTTTAAAACATGTTTATTGATACAAATAACAGACGATAGTCTCAAAAAATATTACAACTGTTCTAATTCTAACTTCTACTCTTGATAAGCTTTCTTATGATCATCTTAACAGTATATATGTATGTAGGAGGATTGCTAAATAATCTTGAACAACATGCAAATATTGACCATAACAACGACGTTGACAACTCGGGATTAGGAACTGTTTAGTTTAAAATATGTCTTCATTTTTGTGACGAATAGATTCCTCGCTATGGAACATACAAAAAATCCTTCAATATACCTGTGGAAATTTATCTCTTCCGAGCAAAGATACGGCTATAACTCTGCTATATATTAATTTCGATAACAATTTTGCCATGCGAGGGACACAAACTATTCAACACACGTGTGGGACGCTAAAAATGCGTAGTCAGCAAGTTTCGCCCGATCGTGTTTAAGCTCGCCCGCGTGACGTCATTGCATATAATTATGACGTATGTTAATGAGTGACGTCATTACTCCTCCTCACTCCTCCTCCTCACTCCACCACCACACTCCACCACCTCCACCACACTCCACCACCTCCACCACCGCAAAAATAAGGCCCGAACGGTACCTATATTACTACTACTTTACTCTTCCCGGGAAAGCAAGACAAACTTTTGCTCATTTCTCATCTAATTTTCATCTAAATCGTCCTCGAAATCCTTGGATTATTTTTGGTAACCCCACAAACTTTCGTATTAGTTGGATATTTTTTGAGCTATCGTGGTGACAGCGTGAACTTGTGGTTAGAGATCGGCAACTGGCCTCTGTATAGCCAGGGCGCTATAAAACACGGGCGGTGAAACGGAGATAGCGCCCCTGATCTTTGTGTGATGCGCGTACCCCCGTATACATTAATTTAATGTCAATAAAAATGGAATTGGAATGTTTATGCAAAAGAGAGCTGGAAAAAACTAAAGTAAAAACTGTTTTCTGCACATTCCTAAACAACTTGATGGTTTGAAGACATTGTTGGATTTATTTTCTGTATATCTGATGAAGGAAAGAGGGCTTTAAAAAGATTCATCATGAGCGAAATAAAAATTTGAAAAGGAATCGAGCTGATCGAATGTCGGCATATTCCAAAAATATTATACGAAAATTTTGGTATGAAATGGGATATTTTACTTCATAATGCGAAGGTAGGATAAACATTTTCACAGTAAGAATATTCTGACATTGCTTGGCTATTATTTTTCAATAATTATATAGTCAAAAATTGACCATGCATGCATTTAAAACAGCTAGAATTTGAAAAAAACAACTACAATTTGCTCGAACAATTTGAAAACTTAAATATATAACCGTTTTTGTGTTAACCATGAGCCGGCCTGCTCGGAATCCATTGAAAGTTCATTGTAAAGTGTTTTTTACTAATTGATTTGATTTCTATTATTGGTATAACTAACTGCCGCCGACACTCCAAAAATATTCAGTGTGAATCATTTTTCGTGCGACTGCAGTCGTTGACATTACAGTGACAGTGTTACGGAAAACTATAAAGGCTGCAAAATACCTCCATTTTATGAAAGAAGCACAAAAAAGCCCCGTTCAATTTTACGTGAGACATAAAGCCAAGTTAAATGTCTATAGTTTGGTGTGTTCAAATTTATTTCAACCTATCTCAACGAGGAGAAAACACCATTTTAAATACGTCAGCGCTTTGACAAAAAAGAAAATATGTCGTCAAAATCGAGTTCAAAATGCATGTCTTTTCCTCAACAATCGCTTTGTTCATTTTGCAAGTGAAATAGATACCAATTCTAGCAATATAAGCTGATACTAGACACTTCAATAAACATTTATAGTATATATTTGAGGCAGGAAGTGATTTCGTTTAATTGATAATTGAAAATTTGTGTTGTTTAAATATCGTATTATCTGCATAAATAAGTATAGTAGTCGCGAATACATTGTCGTGTGGAGTATACGGAAAACTATAAAGGCTGCAAGATATCTCCGTTTTATGAAAAAAGCCCAAAAAAGCCCCGTTCAATTTTAGTTGAGACATAAAGCCAAGTTAAATGTCTATAGTTTGGTGTGTTCAAATTTATCTCAACCTATCTCAACGAGGAGAAAACACTATTTTAAATACGTCCGCGCTTTGTCAAAAAAGAAAAAATGTCGTCAAAATCGAGTTCAAAATGCATGTCTTTTCTTAACAATCGCTTCGTTCATTTTGCAAGTGAAATAGATACCAATTCTAGCAATATAAGCTGATACTAGATACTTCAATAAACATTTATAGTATGTATTTGAGGCAGGAAGTGATTTCGTTTAATTGATAATTGAAAATTTGTGTTGTTTAAATATCGTATTATCTGCATAAATAAGTATAGTAGTCGCGAATCTATTGTCGTGTGGAGTATACGGAAAACTGTAAAGGCTGCAAGATATCTCCGTTTTATGAAAAAAGCCCAAAAAAGCCCCGTTCAGTTTTACTTGAGACATAAAGCCAAGTTAAATGTCTATAGTTTGGTGTGTTCAAATTTATCTCAACCTATCTCAACGAGGAGAAAACACTATTTTAAATACGTCCGCGCTTTAAATTTTGCAAATATTTTCATCGCTCGAGTAAAATTTTTGCCCTGATATTTTCTTTCAACATGTGTTCAGTAACAAACAACACAAGCTATTACATTTGATATAACTTATTAAATGATATTTCAAATTTTAATTAATGAAACATAATTACTTAGCATTTAAATCCTTTGTTTTCTCGTTTGTTTGTTTACATATTTTTGTTGCCATCTTGTACGCGATTTTCTGATTTTTTTAGAGAAAGCGCGCTCGCGCCAATCCTAATGTGCATCACACGTAGCACGGTCATTTATTAGCGCGTTTTCCCGCCCGTGTTTTATAGCGCCCTGGTATAGCTCACTTGGTTAGAGCGCTGCACCGGAATCGCAGGGCCGCAGGTTCAATTCCTGCCATAGTGGACCTAAAGTTGCATTTTTCGCTTCTGTTCCTGGTTAAGTCTAATAAATGTATATAAATTTCCACTCAATAATTTCCATCTACAATATACCAATCAAATGTTATTCATTCGAGTGAGATGCCACAAACAATCTTGATAAACACACGTGCGCACACTATTACAAAAACAAGTGAAACGTTGACTGGAGACACCTTAACGATAAATGTTTCAATTACCTGATTCAACTGTACATGTCTGAATGTTGATTGGTTTATCTGCCTGTGGAGCTTTATGAAGCTTGCTGAGAAGTGTTTCCACTAGTTTGACGTCATTGGCGGGAAATATGGACACGTGATCGCCAGCTTCATATGCCAACTTCTTCTCTGCCTGGGTATCAATCTTCACCAACAATGTGATACGGCTGAAGGAAGGAATTATTTGTGAATAAGAATACATGCGAGAATTTTACATTGTATTCGTGGTGTAAACATATGCCTATTTGTACTAGAAACAACGGTATCAAGTCCAAAAGGTTCACATATGCCTAATTTGAAAGTGAAACTGTGCAGAGATAAACAGTAAAAATAACATTTGTTGTGATAAATTATTAGTTAATAGAGTAAAACTTTCAAAATTAATTTGCAACTGGTTTGTTTCATTTCTAGTTCCATATTCAGGCTATGTTCAGACCGTCCCCAACCAATGTTGGTAATGTAATAAAATGAAACCACTAATTAAGTTTAAACAAAATTGAACGGGGGAGGGTTGGATGATTTAGCGATAAGTTTTTACAAAATACGGGCAGTATCTCAACCATATTACAAAAATAATTTCTTATGTTAGCTTTGTGTATCATTCAGATAGATTTCGTAATACCTCGCATCTTCTGACTGCAAATTCTTCTGTTCAATAAGCTTGCAAGGATAAATTGGTCCACGATAAAGATCACTTAGTGCTAAAAATATTTAGTTGAACTTTAGACATGTTTCACAACTACAGTAGTCAGGTTTAAAAAATAATTTGTGCACAGGTCTAAGGGCCGTTTTATACGTCGAATTTTGGTCGCGTCGAATGCAATTAAGACAATAGATAATGAGATGATAAACCTCATTAAGCTTCATTAAGAATGAGCGTTTTTGTCAAAGGTGATCATACACAGCTACTTATATACTGGAAGATAACGACATCGCCCTAAATATATTGCTATAAATGGTGACGTCATTCTTATTTAAAGCAACATTTCAAGCAACGTGGGAAGCAAGGCATATGTAGGAATTGCGACCGATCCTATGCAAAAACCGTGTTAAGCCTTGATGCCCTTAACCCTGACCAGGTGAATCCCCGATCGGATAGGTCAATCAGCGAGTCAAATCTAAAGCATTATTCGTTCCCTCATCTTCCAGCCCCGAGACCCTTAAGTCTTAGACACGGTCAAGTTACAAACCCCTTAGGGTTTCGAAGGCACCATTGTAGCCGGTATCCTTTTTTAAAACGTTGTCGTGTCATTCCTTCGTATCGGACAGCCCATCGCCACCACTCTCTAGAGTGGTTGGCCCATCTCCACACAGTGGCCTGTTTGACGAGTCAGCAGCAAACAATATGATGAAAATACCTGTTAGAATCACTTCACGTCAGAGTGGTTCACGTCAGAGACTATCATATCAACTAACCATTAATAATTCTTCTAGTGTTAACAATAACTTGCAAAATAGAAATCTTGTTCGTGTTCCTTTGTCCAACCCTGCCTCTCCAAACGCTTCCGCACTCTCGTGGTCACTCACGTCGAAAACCACTAATGATACGGCCTCAGCCCATTTAACAAAAAAGTCAGATAACAGCCTCAGTACCCTTCCAGGTCTCAAACTGGTCCACCTAAACATCCGCTCTCTGAAAAATAACGCCCATTTTTTAGAATTACGTAAGTTTACCATATTTAACAAAATTGACGTCCTTACAGTATCAGAGACATGGTTTAATACCTCCGTCACAAACAAGGAAATAGAAATCGAAGGTTATAAGCTACATCGTTTAGACCGACTACACAAGAAAGGGGGCGGGGTATGTGCTTACATACGAAAAGATATTAAATCTCTTGTACTTAAAGACCTCAGTTATATCTCCGAGACGAATTTCCATCAATTATGGATCAAATTACAGCACAAAAAATCTAAATCACTGTTGGTCTGTGTCTCTTATCGACCCCCAGACAGCCCGCTTGACTGCTTCGAAAAATATTTTAAACCTAATTATGTTCATGCTCTGACGATGGGAAAGTTGATCATTCTTCTTGGAGACCTAAACTGCGATATGCTTAAGCCCACACCTGGATCAGCGTCTTTGATCAAGACGACAAAAGAACTCAACCTTAACCAGTTAATAAAATCACCAACAAGAATTACTGAATCCAGTCAGACCCTCGTCGACGTTATTTTCGTATCCTCGCCAAGACTAGTAGTCAACAGCGGCGTCATAGAAACCTGTATCAGCGATCATTTCCCTGTGTATGTATCACTAAAACTTAAAACCGACAAATCTCCACCAAACTATATCACTACCCGTAGCTACAATAAATACGACCCTGATTTGTTCGCGATCGATCTGGCATCCAATCGTGATCGTCTTGTTTCCATTTTCAGAATGGACAATGTTGATGAAAAACTAACCATTTTTAATGAAATATTTTTAAATACATTGGATAAACACGCCCCAGTAAAGACCATAAAAGTACGCGGAAAATCTTGCAAATTTATCACCTCGGAAATAAAAGCATCCATGATCAAAAGAGACCAGCTCCACAGTCTTTTCAGGAAAACACGTGATCATTATGATTGGCTTAATTTCAGAGAGGCCCGTAATTTTACAAAAACCGCACTTGTTAATGCACAGAAAGAACATGTACTGAAGGAAGTTCAGCAACACAGAAACAATACTGGGTCACTTTGGAAGGTAATTAAAGAAAATATAGCGTATAGGGAAAGAGAGTCAGTGGTCTACAGTAAGGAACCGAAATTAGTGGCCGAAGAGTTTAATCATTTCTTTTCCACCATCGGTGTGAATGCAGCAAAGAAAGCCTCAACACTAATACAAGATCCTAGTGTTTATCCAGCTCGGAATCTTTCTGACGTAAATCGCACAGATAACAGCTACCCTGAAGAAAATGATAGATTTAGTTTCACCCCAGTCTCTTGTTCAGAAATAAGGAACATCATATTAGCTATGCCGTCAAACAAATCACCCGGCAAAGACAAAGTGAGTATGCGTGTCATCAAACACAGCCTACCGGTAATTCTTGGGCCCCTCACCGATATCATTAACTGTTCACTGTCGTCATCTTCGTTCCCTATAGCATGGAAAGAGGCAGAAGTTATCCCTTTGTTAAAGGATGGAAACCACGAGGAAGCATCAAATAACCGCCCACTTTCTCTCCTTACCTTTCTTTCGAAAATTTGTGAGAAAGTCGCCTTGAATCAATTTGGTTCGTATCTAATGAAGAACAAAAAATTGTCAACCCACCAGAGCGGGAACAAGAAACATCACTCATGCGAAACATTGAATCTTTTGACCGGAGATACTATCCTAAAGGCCATGGATGGGAAATTGGTTACTGCACTGATTCTAATAGATCTATCTAAAGCTTTCGACAGTGTAAATCATACTTTTCTCCTTACAAAACTTAGCAACGTCGGGGCTTCTCCAAGCGTTGTAAAATGGTTTGAGAGTTACTTGACCGGAAGAACTCAATCAGTCAGAATTGGATCAACTGTGTCTACTCCTCTCCCTGTTACTTATGGTGTACCACAGGGTGCAATTTTATCACCTTTACTTTTTAGTATTTATACTAACGATTTGCCCTCATCAGTCCACCATAGTAAACTTGAATCGTACGTGGACGACTCCAAGATATTACTATCTTTCACTGTGGCTAACGTGGACTGTTTAAAGCAACAACTTGAGGAAGACTTGTATTTGATTGCAAACAGTTGTTCCGAAAATGAATTGCTTATTAACCCGGGAAAGACCAAATACATGCTGATTGGCACACGGCAAAACCTACAACAACTTCCCGTAGATATGACCATAAACTTCCTCAACGAGACTATTACCCCCGTCTCCTTTGCCAAAGATCTAGGAATGACAATCGACTCTTATTTGACATATGACCAGCACATCACCAACCTGGTTTCCTCATGTATGAATTCCCTGTGCCAAATAAACCGAGTCAAAAAATGTTTCGATAAAGAAGCTTTAACTCTCATCGTCTCGGCACTTGTAATGAACAAAATGTTCTATTGTTCAACGGTTTGGTCAAACACTTCGTCTACCAACATTAAGAAACTACAGTTGGTACAAAATTTTGCATGCAGGATAATAACAAATATTGGAAAGTTCGACCATATTTCGCCGGGCTTACGCGAACTTAACTGGCTCCCAGTAAAGGAACAATTACTACTAAGAGAGGCTATTATGATGTACAAATGTGTCAATGAACTTGCTCCACATTATTTGAGCGATTTATTCACAAAACGTTCTGACATTCATCAACGAGATACACGTAGCCATAACTCACTGCAAATACCATTGTACAAAACTTCTGCAGGTCAAAGGTCCTTTCATTATAGAGGCGTTACACTCTGGAATGATTTGGACATTAAGTTCAAAAAGTTAGACTCCCTAAAAACTTTCAAAAACGAACTGAAGCGAAGCATGCTAGAACAAATATATAAGTAGATAATTTTACCTTGTTAAACTTTATACAAATGTCTTACCTTTTTACCTTAATTTAAATTCTAGATTCTAAAACTTGTAAATAGAACAACATTTATTTTTTGTAAATCAGTGTTGAAAATCCCTATTTAGGGAACACAATAAAGTATGTATGTATGTATGTATGTTTTGATTTAGAAAGTTTCTGGTTTAACTTTTCTCACGTAAACTGGGTGATAGCAAATTTTTTTAATAATGTAGTCTCCAAATGTGAAAAACGTTTGAAACAACAACAATACATTTATTTTTATCAGCGAGGAGGGGGTGCACTTACTTTTACATAACGGGGCTTGTTTGTCCTTTGATTCGACAAATCTAAACTTATCTGGCGACCATTCAGCTGAGATGGTATCAAGAGATGTGGCCGAACCAGACATGTTGGTATCTTCAATACAGAATGTCTCACACGCAGCCTAAACCATGTAGTATTTTAACCTTAAAACCCAACTATGCTAAGTAAAACTCCCTAGTTAATACAGCTGTCTAGTTCTCTTCGAGGTCACGTTTTTCCCGCCGGAAGTGCTAACTCCCGGATGTTACACTCCTTTTTCTCTGGATTAAACCCAGAGTCCCTGCAACATAACATCTAAACTAATAATGTCAACACTATAACCTAACAGTTTATAGTCCCTTAGCGTTTTATACTCTAAAATTAATGTAATTACTCACGAATAATAGTCCGGTGTCTGTCTATCTCTTTGCGAATATCGGGCTGCTGGAACTGCATTTTCTTCGCTAACCACTTGTTGGTCTGAAACGTGTTGCTGGTTGATATCTGGATCCATGACGTCATTTTCGTTTTCTTCGGGTGTTTCTCTATGGATCACCTGATCTTGATGGCGATGAACCTCGCGGTCGTCTTCCAACTATATGCTATAGGAAACTGGCCCGGTTTGTGTATTGATCACTCCTGGACACCAGTTTTGTTGTTTTCCATATTCTCTAGAATATACTAAATCACCTGGTCGTAATTGTCGATCCACTGCATGTTGATCGAGTAACTCTTTCTGCTTCTTCTTTTGGTTCTGTACTCTTTGTCTTACATCTGGATGTAGTACGTCCAAGCGAGATCTTGGTTTTCTGCTCATAAGCATTTCCGCTGGCGTTATCCCTGTGGTTGAGTGTGGGGTGATACGGTATTTGAAGAGAAACCGAGACACTCTGGTTTCCAAACTTTCCTTATTTGACATCTTCTTCATCCCTTCCTTAAACGTCTGGACCGCCCTTTCTGCAAGTCCATTGGAGGCTGGATAATAAGGAGCAGTCCTTCAGTGATGAATGCCGTTTTTCGCCAGAAATTCTTCGAATTCTTCACTGCAAAAATTACTCCCGTTATCACTAACAATTGTTTTAGGAAGACCGTGGATTGCAAATGTTGATCGAAGTTTTTCAATTGTTGCTCTCGATGTTGCCACATTCGTTGGATGCACTTCGAGCCATTTTGAGTACGCATCGACCATGATGAGGAACATTTTCCCCAAGAATGGACCAGCATAGTCAATATGAATTCTTTCCCATGGTCGGCTTGGCCATTCCCACGGGTGCAGTGGCCCTTCAGGATTCATTCTTTCTATTTATCTGGCAGTTGTTGCACGTTCGTACTTTGTTTTTCAAATCGTTATCCATGTTTGGCCACCACACGTAGCTTCTTGCTAGACTTTTCATCTTACATATTCCTGGGTGGGTTTCATGTAATTCGTCAACCACTTGCCTTCTTCCTTGGGGTGGAACAACCACTCTGTTTCCCCAAAGTATACAGTCGTCTTGAACACTCAGCTCGTCTCGTCGTTGAAAATATGGTTGAAACTCCCCATCTGGACACTTGCTAGGCCAACCTTGTTTGATAAATTTCAAAACTCTAGCAAGTATAGGAGTTCTCTTTGTCCAGTTCTTCACTTGCTCTGCTCTTATTGGAGTAGTCTCCAATAGTTCCATGAGTAAGATTGTTTCTTCAGGAACTGGTGTTGAACCTGGGGTGTCTGGCAATGGTAATCTACTGAGGGCATCAGCATTTGCATTCTGAATTCCTTCTTTGTACTGAATGGCGTAGTCATACGCAGACAAAATTAAGGCCCACCGCTGAATTCGAGCTGCAGCCATTGGTGGTGTCATTTTATCCGGATGAAGTACCCGCTCAAGCGGCTTGTGATCTGTCAGTATGGTGAAATGTCGACCATACACGTACTGGTGAAATTTCTTGACACCAAATACGATGGCTAGCGCCTCTTTGTCTAGTTGAGAATAGTTTTTTTCAGCTGCGGACAGTGATCTCGAGGCAAATGCAATTGGTTGTTCTGTGTTGTCTTCCATCCGGTGTGACAAAACAGCCCCCAAGCCATATGGTGAGGCATCGCAAGCCAGTATTAACTCCTTCTCCGGGTCATAATGCACCAATAGATGTGAGGACTTCAATAACTCTTTGGATTTTCTAAATGCCTCTTGGTGCTCTTCACTCCATTTCCAACTTTTCCCTTTTTCCAACAGGCTGTGCAGTGGTGCCAGAATCGTTGATAAATTTGGTAAATACTTTTGGTAATAGTTGATCATTCCCAAGTATGATCGAACTTCAGACACATTCGTCGGTGCCGGTGCATTGGTGATGGCTCTGACTTTCTCTTGGATTGGTTGTATTCCTTGGCTATTTATCTTCTGGCCTAAATACACCACCTCGTTCACCATGAAGGCACACTTCTTCTTCTTTAGGCGTAACCCATGCTCTGACAACCGTTTTAGAACTTCTTCTAAATTTGCTAAATGTTCCTCATCATTCGAACCAGAGACCAAAATATCATCCACTCGCACAACCACGAAAGGAATCCCCTGCAGTAGGTTTTCCATAGTACGCTGGAAAATCCCAGGGGACGAGGACACTCCATATGGCAATCGATTGTACTGAAAAAGTCCTTTGTGTGTGTTGATGGTAGTATATTTTTTTTATTCATCCTCCAATAAGATTTGTTGATAGGCTTGACTCATATCCAGCTTGGTGAATTTCTCTCCACCACTTAAAGTGGCAAAAAGATCTTCTGCCTTGGGAATCGGGTAATTGTCTAACTTTGCAGCTTGGTTGACAGTTACTTTATAATCCCCACAAATTCTTATCGACTTATCATCCTTAACGATTGGTACGATTGGCGCTGCCCAATCTGCAAACTGGACAGGCTCTATAGTTCCCTCTTCTTGCAATCTTTCTAACTCCTTTTCTACTTTTTCCCTCAATGCATAGGGAACAGGTCTTGCCTTGTAATACTTTGGACTTGCATCCTCAGCCACATATATTTTGGCTTTGGGACCAGAAAATGTTCCTAACTCTTCATGAAACACTTTCTCATACTTCTCAAGTAACTTATTAACTTTGACTGAGGTATTCTTGTCCTCTTTTAACTGAAATAAATTCTTCCAATTTATTTTAATCTTTTGGAGCCAATTTCTGCCAATCAAGTTAGGGCCCTTCCCCGTTATGACTAGTAAAGGCCATACGCCTTCTTGATCTTCATACTTCACCGAAGTCTCCACCTGACCCAACACTTTAACTTGCTCTCCCGTATAGGTATTTAGTCTTACCTTTGACTCCTTCAGCTCTAGGTTTGGGTGTTTTTTCTTCAATAATGTATATGTATCCTCATTCATTACACTAACTGCAGCACCAGTATCTACTTCCATCTTTAGACTTTCATTGCTCACCAGTACATCAACAACATATGGCTCAGCTTGCCCTTTGCCCAGACTATAAATCCCATAGTTGTCGTCTTCCTCTTCGATCTCGTCATCCTTCATGTTTAAATAGTTGCTGCTAGTGCCTGAGTTAGGGTTGTCGTTTCGTTGATTTTTTCCAGTCGCCTTAGTGTTGCTTCGACATTTTCTTGCTATGTGTCCTTTCTTGTGGCACAGGAAACACTCAGCATCGCGAAATTTGCATTGTTGCGGGTCATGTTTACCCCCACACCGACCACATTCAGGCTTTGACCATGGTTGGTTTCCTTGTCCTTGGTTGTCCACACGGTGTAATGTTGCAGGTTTCTCAGTATTTATATTTGCATTGGCCATCTGATGTGTCAAATCTCGTGCATTCTTTACTGCAGTCTCCATTGATGTAGCTATTTTCATGGCTTTCTTAAAGTCGAGAGAACTTTCTGCTAACAATCTACGCTGAATCTGTTCGTCATTTATTCCACACACCAACCGATCACGTAACATCTCTTCTAAGGTACTCTTGAAATCACAATGTTCTGAAAGACTTCTTAATTCAGCTACATACGTAGCAATTGACTCACCAGGTTTCCTGAACCGAGTATTAAACTTGAATCGTTGCACTATTGCCGACGGTTTTGGGTGTTGATGTTGTTGTACAAGTTCTACTAGCTCTGCAAACGTCTTCTCTGACGGTTTATTCGGCGTGATTAAGTTCCGAATCAACTTATATGTCTTGCTACCACAAACACTCAATAATATCGCTCGTTGTTTATCTTCGTCGTCCACGCCATTTGCTTCGAAATAAAATTCCAACCGCTCAATATACTGACTCCATTCCTCTTGTGAGTCATATTCTTCTAGTTTTCCATGATTTGCCATTTTATCTCGTCGCCAAATGTAGTATTTTAACCTTAAAACCCAACTATGCTAAGTAAAACTCCCTAGTTAATACAGCTGTCTAGTTCTCTTCGAGGTCACGTTTTTCCCGCCGGAAGTGCTAACTCCCGGATGTTACAAACCAAGAACATGTTTGGTGCATATTAAAATTATATAATATTTCTATATAAACCCCTTTGGGTTCGGGACCTCTGGGCTTTTTTCAGTACTTATATACCACCAGCATTGTAATTTAACAGCTGAGCCAGAAATTAACATATATTCCACAATGAACATATACGGCTGTACATTGGTTAGTGCATATGGCTATATTTTGCCTTTGTCGCATTATTTAATGTTATCAGAGCAAACGCCTTTCATCTATGGGTTCGATCCTCTCGTTGCCCACTCCTGTGAAAAGAGTCCGTCAATGCTCTGTCGAAAGTCGTGGATTTTCTCCGGGTGCTCCGGTTTGCCCGCACAAGGAAAGTTGACAGGGTGGGTTAGGATAAACACAGTTAAGAAAATACCATCACAATAGACCTTTCCCCTTATGAGTGAAATTTTGATCTAGATATGCCTGGACAAAAATTTCATCACAGCTTGAAAGAGCATCACAAACTTAGTAATATTCCGCAGTTTCGTTGCGAAATGTTGTAAAATGCGGATAATATTATAGCCTTGCAAAGTTTGCCGTTTTTCAGTCATTTTCTATTACAAACGGGAAATTGATAATCAGATGATCAAACTGATTATCAATTTCCATTTGTAATACAAAATGACTGAAAAACGGCAAACTTCGCAAGGCTATATTATCCACATTTTACAACACTTCGCAACGAAACTTCGGAATATTACTAATTTTGTGATGCTCTTTCAAGCTGTGATGAATTTTTTGTCCAGACTTGTCTAGATCAAAATTTCACTCAAAAGGGGAAAGGTCTATTGTTGTAATAGTCTAGACTAAGTATGTAATTAGATAAGCGTAAAACTTGATGTAAAGCACATTTGATCATATCCATACACGTCTAAATTTGTGCTATAGATATCTTAGGCCGCGTTTACACTATGACGCTACGGCTAACACTCCGTTAAAAATTTACTACGTTTCTAGTATTGAAACTATATTGTGTTTACACTATAACGGAGTGGTTTGCCGTAGCGTATTAACCACGGACCACTACGTTTGGCACTCCGGATGCAAATCACTACGCTACGGTAAATTTGCCGTAGCGTCATAGTGTAAACGCGGCCCATAATCTTAATGATTCATCTTAGATACCTTGAATACATTTTTAGCCCAGTTCTTAAACGACTCTTCCTGACAAACGGCAAAATGGCCTCGCCTCCAAGTTCTAACAAAAGTTTGTCCAGAGATCTTGCGAATGCGCAGAAATTGGGATAGGCATTGGACCCAAGTCCGAAAACGGAATATCTAGATGATATAAAGTACAATCAAATTAGCCTTTCTCACGCCGCCATTTTTGGGTGGCTTTTCAGCCGACGTCTGCGAGATAAGTCCACATAACAGCCACTTTTTATAATTTTTTGGTTAGTTTATTTTGAAAAATAGCTTTTCCCATTGCTTTAATTGTCTGCATTGGTTAACGAGAATTAGATGCCACCCAAAAATGGCGGATATTCGTCATCGTGAGAAAGGCTAATTATAGTGGAGTATTATTGTCTGTGGGTGCTGCTGTCGCACTTAGAGAAATAGTCGAAATTTATAAGCCTGGTTTGCACTGTCAAAGTTTTTCTGATCACAGTAGTAATTTTGCATCCGGGTAAATTCTAAGTTTTGAAGGATTTGTAAGAAATATTTGAGCTAGGGAACTGACTCAGTGTTAAACATTAAGTCACTTCCTTCAAACATTTCTTATAAAATCTTCAAAACTTTGCAATTTACGTGTGCAAAATTCCCAATATGATCACAGAAACTTTGATATAGTGTAAACCAGCTTATACAGACTGCAAACTATGGTATCTTAGGTTAGCAAGTGGTTGTGAGTCATCATTGGCATTGTTGGATTTTGGCGTGCCGTCCTTGTTCATTTCCATCAGGAGTGTACTCATTGTTCTTTTAAACTTAGTTTGGACTTCACTAAAAAATAGGGAAACATATTGGATTAAGGTTTGCATGCAAATTTAGCTTTACAACTGCTTGTTATGTAGAGCTTCGCCCATCGGCCCATTGTCATAATCGATTAATCGAATCATGTGTCCACAGTGCAAAAAGGGGAGGGCTAGTGGTAGTAGAGAAATAAAAAAGCAAGTTGCGTTTGTCATTTGATCACATCGACAATATATCTCCTCGCAAAAAAGTTATCCTTGTATCATGCTATGCACGGCTGTTTTGTTGATTCGATTATAGTTAAGAATAATCGATTGTCTAAAATAACCGATTAATCTGGAGCAGGTCTAATATGTTATAAATAATATTATATAAAGTACCTGGATGATGACGTTGGAGGATGCCTCAACTCGTAAAGATCATGTGCAAAGTTCTGAAAACAAGAATTCAGAAAACGTTTGATTCATCGCACAAACCCTTCATTAAATAGCTTTACTTTTCATTTGGTGTTGATGGTTTGCAATTAATCCCTTGACAATTACAAGACAAAGACCTAGCGGTCATGTTGGAGGAAAGCACGCTCCAAATACAAGAGCTGCTAATGATATTCTTTTGTGAGCGTTCCTCCAAAATGGCCACAGTGACGTCAGGTGTAAACGAAGAATATCGAAAATGCTCTAGAGATTCAGCTCTTCAGTGGCTTATTTATGTCAGGCACGTTTGAGGGGGGGGGGGGGCGCTTTTGAAGAGGAAGGCCCCAGAGAGAAGCGACCTTATTGATAGAGAGAGGACTTAGTAAAGTAGAGAGGCTTATTCGCGATGGGGTTAACCGCAACATTAACGGTATAAATTTCAACGGGCAACACAAAGTATTCCAAACTGTAGTATGTTCTCCATTCTTACCTCGCCATTCTCTGGCGGATCTCCGTTCCCGAAGGTACTGGTGACAACCAGGAGTAGTTCCTCATATTCCATGTCAGAGAAATCATAGTCCTCCATAGAAAACACCTGCAACATTGGTGGAACATGTTTAAAATATGAACATTGAAATTCCATGTTACACGAGACAACATTTCTGCTGCACCTTGCAACGCAATATCTGTCATAGAGCCCTTTGTGAGCAGCGAAATTCTGAGCATAACGGCTGTTGCTTTTGTTTGAATACTTTGAAAAGGTACAATAGTCCACAGTTGTGCAGTAGTCGGTTGAATAAACGATTTTTGCCACCCAAAATGGCTGATTATTTTTGATGAGACGTCGTACTGCAAGACCTGAGTAGATGACTATGGTACAATGATTTGATGTTAAAGTGCGCCGTAGTTTACTTACCCTAGGGTTGAATGCATATGAAAACAGTTCCTTCAACAGATTGGCATAATGCTCCGACTTTCCTGTTTCGGTTGCATATAGTACAGTCACTTTCTGTCGTTTGGCCATAGCCTGACCCATTAACTTGGCTGAAAACTTCACCGCTCTAAATATAAATGGGAATAAATAGCTGAGAATGTCAGCAATTATAAAAAAAAGAGTATAGGATACACGTGTAAAAATCTTATAGCTTGTCAGCAAGACGCTTGTTCCTAGTTGTTGGCAAGTCTGAAACAAGTTGTTATCATCTTGTAACAAGGTTGATGAGGCCAACAGACTCGCAACAAGTTCCAACAAGTGTGATATCATCTGCACGTAACACGTTGATGACAACAAGTTCGTAGCAACTTGTTACGACAAGGCCTGTATCAGTCTTGTTGGAACAACTTGTAGCAAGACTGTAACCATCATCAACCTTGTAACAAGGTGATAACAACTTGCTCCAGATTTGTCACAACAACTGGAAACAAGCAGTGCAAACACATCCTGATATCGGCTTGACAACAACCTTGTTACAACTTGTTTGCAGATCTGCATGTATATTGTAACAACTTGCGCGTTGTCACGTGTATAAATAGATATAGTTGAGATAATCACTATAACTGTAAATAATTCCTTACTTTGCATTCCTTACTCCTTACTTTTCTTTGGTCTTTTTGTAGTGGTAAATTGATACACTTTCCAGGGGTCTTCCTGTTAAATCATGTAGAATTTTAAATATTGTTTTACGATTACTGATAAAGATTGCAATTGATGTGGTTTGCGAAGTTCGTGAATTTTTACCTGATAGTCATATGAAGGTTTCAGATTATAGTTCAGCATTTCCTGAAAAAATTGGCGACTTTTCAATTAAGTTTTCAAGAACGTGCAAGTGTCATATAAGAATTATAATATTATGTTAAAAATGTGCATGCATAATTTTCAGTTGAATTTTCTGAACTCACCAAATGGAAGACAGGAGTGGTACTCCCTGACATAGGTGGAACAATCCACACCCAGTCCGCTGGGCAGCATCCACGTGCACGTTCCTAAGACGAGAGAAATAATTTGTTCTGTCATACTACTGGAATAGACTAAAGGCCGTTTTCCACTTCAATCGTAACGTATCGTAGCATTTTCTTTTGTGTCGAAGTCATTAGTTCCACACTACAGCACAGGAAGCAAAGAGACACGTTTACTCGTTTAGGTACGATACGGTTGAAGTAGAAAACAGGCATAACAATACAATAGACTTTACTGTTTATTTACTTTCGTTTACAGGGTTCGTACAAAACTTGAAAATCCTTGTAAAGTCCTTGAATTTGGAAACAAAATTCAAGGTCTTGAAAGTTCTTGAGTTTATAATAAAGTTTGCTTCAAAGTCCTTAAATTGTTCTTGCTTTAGTGGATATTTTTTTAAATTGTTTGGCATTAAGAATTGGACATTTTGTAAGTTGATTTTGTTCATGTCTTACAAAGGCCAAAGCTGTTTAAAATTCATTAAAGTTGCCGTTTGTACAGCTTAACGTCACTTTTTACTGATTTCTAACGCCTTTTCAACCCTTTAGTCCTTGAATTTCCTGGTATATATGGCCTTGAAAGTCCTTGAATTTAATGACTCTTCTTGACCTGTGCGAACCCTGGTTATATCTCCATGTTTCCTGCATGAATATGTTCCTCTTTGATCTTGAACAAAATCACTAAAGGAATACCGAATGGATTTCCGTGCAGGATTGCGTGATCCATGCACGAGGGATGTCGCGAGACTTTCGGAAAGCGTAAAAATACTCGAGCCACAGGCGAGTGTATTTTTACGCTTTACGAAAGTCGAGCAACATCCCAAGTGCATGGATCACGCTATCCTGTTCGGAAAACCATTTGGTAATTGTTTTATAAAATAACTACAGTGAAACAAAGACATTTTGAGAATCCCGCGAAGGCATTTTAATTCCTCGTGCAGGATATAGCCTGATCCAACGCTACTCACGGCACCAAATAAGCTTATTTTACACGTCGGAACCAATGATCTACAAAGAATGACGCCAGATGAATTGTTGACACATGTACAAAAGCTTGGAGAGAGCATTACTCGAGAAAACGGGAATATTGAATTAGTTTTATCAGAAATCATAACAAGAAATGACGATAAAACATTGGCTGATAAGGTAAACGAATATAACAAGGGATTAGCCCAATTATGTATAGAACGAAATTGGTGTCTTATCAGGCACAATAATATTGACGTAAACCATTTAAATAACTACGGACTGCACTTAAATAAGCAGGGTACATCAGTCTTAGCAAAAAAACATAAAGCAATTTCTTAATAGGAATTGACTAGGTAACGACAATAATAATGACATAAGACACAGCGATAATAATATAGTCGACAAAGATAATTCCGATAGTCCAGCACGCTGCACCTCAAAAAGCCCAAAAATTCCTTTCCAAATTAATAAGTCTTATCCAAAACTAAAGGGTTTTAAAATTGGCCACTTAAACATTACTAGTTTGCCGAAACACATGGATGAGCTTAAATTATTCATGAAGGAAATATCATTCGACATTCTTTGCATAAACGAAACTAGATTAGACAATACAATTAACGACAAGATTATTAAGATACCAGGTTATGATATTGTAAGACGAGATCGAAATGGTGGCGGTGTAGCAATTTATATAAGAAGTATCATTAGTTATAAAAACCATATCGAATTCATTCCAGACAACTTAGAATCTATTTGTCTTGAAATTCAAAAACCTAAGTCAAAACCACTCTTAATTGTTACATGGTATCGTCCACCAAATTCTAACACTATCATATTAAACGACTTCGAAACGTTACTGCGAAAACTAGATGATACAAATATTGATATTATTATCACTGGCGACCTAAATTGCGATATGATGGCAAACAGTCCCACTCGTCATACAAAAAGGTTATCCGATCTGATAAATGAGTTTCAGCTAAAGCAACACATTACAAGTCCGACCAGAATAACGACAACATCTAAAACATTAATTGACATAATAATGACTAAAGCAAGCGATACCAAAATTATAGACTCTGGAGTGATACATTTAGGACTGAGTGATCACAGTTTAGTGTACATTTGCCGCAAAGTAGGAGTACCTAGGGCTGAACCAAAAATTGTAGAAACAAGGCAGTTTAAATACTTTAATTCATCTGCATTTCAATACGACTTAAAAATGGCATTTCAAAGACACAACAACTTCTATAATTATGCCGACCCCAATCATGCGTGGGAGGTATGGAAAACTATTTTTCTTGATATTGCAAATATGCATGCTCCACTTCGGATTCGGAAAGTCAAAAGTGAGCACTGTCCTTGGATGACAAACGAAATAAAAAACCTTGCGCATCATAAATTCTACTTGAAACAAAAAGCGGTCAAATTTAACTCTTCTAATTACCACGAAGCTTATAAACGTTGTAGAAATGAACTTAACAAAAGAATCAAAGCAACTAAGGTTCATTTTTACAACACTAAACTACAAAACAGTAAAAATAGCAAAGAAGGTTGGAATACATTAAATAATCTGCTTAATAGGAAATCCAAAACCACAATTGTTAATGAACTTAGCGTAGACCATGGAAAAAATGTAACACAAGATAAAGCCATAGTCGACGAGTTTAATAAATTCTTCACTTCTATAGGTCCCAAATTAGCAAATAACATTGCTGACAATGGCTGTAGTCCTGATCCTTTGTCATATATAGACCAAGTCACAAATGTATTTCACTTTCATAGCATATCAAGCTATGAGCTGAAAAGAGAAATACAAAATATGCAAATGGCAAAATCTACAGGTCTAGATAAGATCTCAACTAAGCTAATAAAACAGGCAGGCAATACAATAACTGAATCACTTCTAGAAGTGTTTAACCTATCTCTTAGGACAGGAATATTTCCAGATGATTGGAAATTTGCCAAAGTGACTCCAATATATAAGTCAGAAAACAAAACCTTATGTGAAAACTATAGACCGATATCAGTCATTTCGAATATCGCCAAAATATTTGAGAAATTAGTCTGTAGACAACTAAATACCTTCCTGGATAACAACAACATAGTTGTAAAAAATCAATCAGGTTTCCGTCGCAATCACTCAACCGAAACCTCGTTTATACTACAATCTACTGAAATGTGGTTGAAATCAATGGACCAGGATCAAATAAATGGGGTTATTTTCTTAGACCTGAAAAAAGCATTTGATACGATTGATCACCAGATTCTATTGTCAAAACTACATGCTTATGGGATACGCGACCACACGCTCAAATGGTTCCAATCGTATTTAGATCAAAGAAAGCAAATTTGCATGCTAAATAACTGTAAATCTGATATTGAAACAATTCGTTGTGGAGTACCTCAGGGTTCAAATCTTGGACCTCTATTATTTCTCATTTACATAAACGACCTCCCCAACTGCCTAGAAACAACACATTCTAATTTATTTGCTGATGACACAATTTTATCATGTCAAGGGCATTTATCCATAGATATTGAATACAAACTTAACAAAGACCTAGTAAATGCTCAAAAATGGTTATCAGCGAATAAACTAACATTAAACAACGAAAAACCAAATATATGATTATTGGATCTCGGCAACGATTGAAAAACTTAGATCACGTGCCAAAAATCAGTATAAACGGACATCAAATTGAACGAGTTTATAAAAAGGAAGCTTTGGGTATAGTTATAGACGATAGACTTAGCTGGAATAGGCAAAATGAAGAACAATGCAACAAGATATCAAAAAATATTAATCTTTTAAGAAAAGCCAAAGATTTTGTTGGCCTAGATACGCTCAAAATTATGTATAACGCATTAGTCGCCCTCATTTTAACTACTGTTCAACTGTTTGGCAAAATAACAACCAAACACACTTAGACAAATTATATAAGCTTCAGAAACGAGCAGCAAGAATAATAACAAATTCGGACTATACTATAAGATCTTCGGACATTTTTCAAAAACTTAGCTGGAAACCTCTTGACTTAGTTTTGAAAAAGCGAGATCTCCTTATGACATTTAAAGCGATTAATGGCATGCTTCCAGAATACGTAACACAACTATTTCACACTTGCGAAAACAATGGTTACGTACTGCGCAGTAGTAATTTAAAGCTGTCTCAACCTAAACCAAAAACAAATTTCTTGAAAAATAGCTTTTCGTACAGAGGAGCAGCGTATTGGAACAACATCCCAGTAAACTTGTTGAAAACCCTAAGAGAGTCAACAAGTTTAAAATCTGTCCATCATCTATTAAATAATTACATCTTGTAAATAAGTAAATAAGTAAATAAGTAAATAAGTATATTTTGTAAATAAGTATAATTTAGTTTATTAGTTCCTTCTTTTATAATGCATTTATTTTCCGCACGGCCCTTTGAAAATCACCTATGTGAAAGGTTACCGTGTTTAAAGATCAATAATAATAATAATAATAAAATAATAATCCTGCACGGCTATTGACCAATCAAATTGCGTGTTTCACTGACTGTAGTTATTATATAAAAGCCTATCTTTAACCCTACTGTGCACGAAACATGAGTAAATAACCACATGAAAACGAGGCCATTGGGGAAAGAGTGCAATAACAGTATATTTGTATTTCTTTGTTTAGAACATTCTGCCCGATGGAAGTGATAGACAAACCTCATTTGAAACGTGTTTCATGAAAGACTCTGTGGTGCTGTGATGATCTGCTATTGTGACGTTTGCAAGCTGAAAGAAAAAAGGTTAGAGAACTTGAGAATAATTTAAAGCCCCATGTCGGAGGACAATGTTGGGGAATACACTGGGATCCAATTTTACCATTGTTCGTGGATCACGCTTGGATCCAATTGTAGATCCAATTCTATCCATTATAATCCAGGAATGGATCTAGCCAGATCGGCTAGGGACGAGGGGTTCAGCGAGCCTTCATGGTTTAAAATGCGATCGTTGACCAAGTCCATAATCGCTAGAAGGAGGTACGGGCAACAGTGTTTTGGGGAGTCGGTCAAACACTGCCCCTGGCAGGGTGTAGGGGCATAGTTGGTGGTAAAGGTGGTAGGATAGTGCTTTTCCATTTAAAAAGATGGTTTTGATCAGGAAATGGACCCCCCCCCTTTGCGGAGGCTAGGATGGCCCCCCCACCCAGTAGATTCCTCTCTGTCGTAAACAAGGTTTGTTCAGCCAAGTTCATGATGATTTCATTTGATTGAGTTTGTTGAGTACAAGTTTCAAATGATTCTCATACCTTGAAGCTGTACAAAACAGCAAGATTCAGCTCGACCAAAGCTCTGTCTTTCCATAATGACGCATTGCTGCTTGTGTTTAGTTCCATCTTTTCTGCAATAGTCTGACGAGTGGAAAATATAAACATACAATATTTTAAAGCGGGGTGAGAGCTAGGTCCCCAATGCACTGTCTAAGATAGTTATTTTGTCTACTAAAGGAGAAATAACCCACCGGCAACATATTATATCTGTACGTATCTCCCAAGTTGCGTGCTCCAATCTCTGTTACCATGTACCTAGGAAAAAATAAATTGACTTCCCTCAATATAGAGCCTCGTTTTAGTGACCGAGATGCTGGGCTTTAGACAATGTCCCACATACGAAAACGAGGCTCTATAGCCAAAGTGACGTAGTTTCCGGAAGGATATATTGTGTGATTTCTTAGCTTGAAGTAATATTCCCGCGCGACTAGAGGACCTGAATAGACCCTTCCAAGGTTAACGACGCCATAATGAAACACAATAGTGCAAGGGGTGCAAAGACAACGGAATTTTGTATAGGTAAATTTGGAGGGGGTGCAAACACAATGGTGAAAACAATAGATTCAAGATGGCGTTCTTAACCTTGGAAAGGCCTATTTGTGCTTACTTACCATCCGTTAAAAGGACATGCAGTAAATTCCACTCCACCGCAATTCAACATCAGACTCGAGACAGCTGGTATGGCATACCACTTCAAATCTAGATCACCAAACCACTTGTATCTATATAATAGAATATTATTTGTTAGTGGTATATACTGAAAAATCTTTTTATCGAAATTTTCTTCGTGAAAAAGCAGTGAATGACATTGATATCAAGGTTTTGGGCGCCTCCTTTGACAGAACTGAATGCTGAAAGGTTTTGTAAACATGGAAATTTCGAATGACAATTATATACATCTTCAGACTTTACCACGAGCATCTGCTATAAATTGAACTATAATAGGCAATTCCAGCTTTTAGTTTATGCGTGCAGGGGATGATGGGAAGTAAGGTATCATATTGCTGATTATGCTGAAAAATTTCAATAAGTTTTACCGAAGCAACCGAAATATTTCAATTTTACAAGTGTAAGCTATCACTTCGTGTTTATATGGCCTCCATTTTTATTTTTTCAGCATAATCAGCAATGTGATATCTTACTTCCTACAAAAGAATATTGTTCTTGCTTCGTTCTTTAGAAAATCCATTCTAGAGCTTATTCTTTTGTCATTGTCATAATCAACCAATCACAGAACATCTTCCTAGAGCTTCGTACCGACCCATCGAAAGGGTGTATTTCCACCTGATCAACCCTTCAACAATGGCATCGATGAAGGTATAGGATGAAAAAATTTCACTGTCTGGAAATTGGACAATATATTATTGCGTAGTTAGACCTACTCTGGATGAGTTATGTTCACTTCCAAAATCAAATCCTCAGGAATTTCAAACACCTCGGGTTCTTCGCCATTCGCTTGAAGGACCAACGGTAGAACATCAAATCTACCATTTTTAGGTTGCCAACCTAGACCGACACATATCTGTTGAATATGAGAAAAATGATTATTTGAAAGAAGATTTTCTTGTATGTCACATAAAACTCGCTCAAAAATGACGGTCACGCTTTTCTTTTATAAAACTAAAGAGTCAGAGTATAATTATTATACTCTGACTCTTTAGTTTTATAAAAGGAAAGCGTGACCGTCATCAGAGTATATAATAAACCACTTGGTTATTAATACATTAATATTATACATTAATAATACAATGTTTTCAAACGAAGGTATGCTTATGGTGCTTTATCTATAGAATAATGCTAAAATGAAGAGCTGGAAGCTTGAAGTTAAGTAATTTTTGCTTGTAAATATGGCGTCAAACTCAAACATGAACAGATGAACCGGTTTTTGTAGTTTCCTTTCCAAATCGATAAAAATGGATTTCGTCAGGATAGTAGCCCCCCCCCCCCCCCCTCCTCCGCATACCCCCAGGAAATCCTTCCCTGTTCACCTCTGCGATCAGGATTTAATTCCTACGACCAACATGTAGTTGCTGTGTCGTCTCAGTTGCATGTGATCGTTCGGGTACAGGATTGTTTGAGAGTCAGGTTTCAGTCAATGTTATTTATGTTTTATTGATGGCATATTTAGTGGTAGATATAATTGTCTATAGGACATGAAATTATAACCTGTAGATAAAACTGATAAGGTTGACTTCACCTCAGTAAACTCGACACTGGCTGGATCTCCAATGATTGAGCCATCCTCCTGTTTATATCCAGCATACTTGATAAACTGACCGTCCACACCCGGAAGTCCCTCCCCGGGCCTTGTCGCTGAGGAAATATCGTGATGGCTGATCTAAATTTATAATTACTTTATATTAGACGATAGCGAGGGTACTAATTCCGCTCGATCGGCTATTTACACCCGGGGAAAGGAAAGCATTAGCGAAGTCAAGTTCATCAATAATCGCGGCCGCGTGGCTATATGTTTCATCGTGTGTGGGTGATCATCCTCAGTGATCTCAAAAATATGTCTGTTCGTATAGGAGCTCGAGTGGGATAAGCAAGATTTCCATTTTCAAAAACATGTATTTGGAAAATTGTTTCATACAATGAGCTTTCAAGCAATTTTGCTTTGAAGAAATAAGAAGAATTGATTTACCATGGGAAATCGTAAAATATAGAGCATTCAAGTTTGCTTTGGATGTTTAATGTTTATGTTTTTATTGCTCAAATTTGTTGCGTAAAACTTGCACTGCTTTCCTTGTCAATGTAGATGTAAGTTTCCTAAATTACCCTGCTTAAACCTGTTTAGAGTTTGCATAAGAGTTTCTTCAACTTTCATTGCTCATTAAAATAAGAACAAGATTTAACGATGGCTGATATTAACCATACATGAAATCTTTTCTAATATTTACCTTTGATTTCCTTTGTTGGTGCCATATTTGATGTGTTTGCATATCGCTTCAAACATTTGCTGGGCGTTGAAGACATCTCGGCAGTCGAACACCTATATTCAGATATTTAACAGTTATTCTACGAACTCGAGTCGAATATGAGCTGTGGCTATCGCTCATATTCGACGAGAGTGAGTGGAATAACTGTTTTATTATATACACAAGGTCTGGATTCACAGACTTTGCTTTTCGGATATTTTCAATATTTTTCTATTTTGTTTATGGTCATGTTTTTATCGTCGCTCTTTCGGCCGATTATTTCTTCAAAAACATATATGTTTAACCATTTTAAATTTTAAAAATTCATTTGCTAACCTGTAAACAATTTGTGGGAGTTTTTTCATTGTGTTTTTAATTCTGTAAAGGCTATAAAAAGCGAACAACTTGTCGTTTTCTCGTTCGCAAAAATCTGAAATTCAGTTTGAGCCACCATTTTGTTTTTTGTAGTATATGAGCTAATATCCTGCTAGTAGAGAACCAATCGGATTGCAGAATACCTCATATCCAGCCTAGACCTAGGCCTTCTAGTCTTATTTATATTTTTTATTATTCAGCGCTTTTTCACATGAAAAGACTGGGACTAGGTAATTTGGGGGCGGGGCGGAGGAAGCAAGCCTAGAAGGCCTAGTGGATTTCCCAACAACAAGGCCAAAACTGCCCTGAAACTGCCCTGGTTGCGAAATGCCCAATTATTGCGTTCTCGAACTGAATTATTTGCAACTTAAAGGCGAATTTAAACCGATACAGGTAAAATAAACTCATTTATAGTATAAGGCCACATAAAAAAAATAGTTGGTTAGCGTCCCCGCCCGCCCACAAAAAAGGCCCCGCTCAGGATTTTTTTTTATTTTTTATTTTAAAAAAACCCAACTTTTATTGATCAACGGGCTCTAATATATGTAGTATTTAAGTTGACTGTAGTCAATTGTGTTAATAATTTGCGAAATTGCGTACGAAAATGACGGTATGAATCATATTTTGAAATATATAAAAAAATATCTGTACTGCGCAAGAAAATCCAGTTTCGAACCTAACAGTGAGTAAAACCAAGGCGTTAAAAATTAGTAAAAATTAAAAAAAAAGCGCCCGCCCGCCCACTTTTTGGCAAAAGCTAAGGACGCTAACCAACTATTTTTTTTTATGTGGCCTAAACTTACTATTTTTATTTGTATACACGTCTAGAAAATCGGGGTTTTTATCATAAAGTTCGAAGCAACACTATTTAATATTTAATATCTTGACAAGGTGTAGCGAAAGCACAAAATGAGTCAAAATATATACCAAAAGTAGAATCTTTCATGAAATTTTGTCTTATACACAACTACATTAATATATATTTTCTCAATTTTGGCAAGAAGCAGTCTTGTGTTTGTAAAATATACAAACACATATACAATTATAATTTATTAAATAAAACGGATACATATGTTATTAGCCCGTACAGTACTGTATATAAAAACGTACATTGTTTACAAATGGTATATCCGTAATATTTGAACAATAATTTCAAAATCCTCATTCCCAATTCGCAAATATAGTTATTCAAAGCAAAACAGTAGATTGTCTTGCGAAGAAAAGAATTATTATTTTGTGCTTTCGCTTCACCTTGTCAACATAATATAAATAGTGTTGCTTCAAACTTTATGATAAAAACCCCGATTTTCTAGACGTGTATACAAATAAAAATAGTAAGTTTATACTATAAATGAGTTTATTTTACCTGTATTGGTTTAAATTCGCTGTTAAGTTGCAAATAATTCTGTTTGAGAACGCAACAATTGGGCATTTCGCAATCAGGGCAGTTTCAGGGCAGTTTTGGCCTTGTTGTTGGGAAATCCACTAGGCCTTCTATATTTTCGCTTGCGTCAGGCTTGTGTCCTTCCTCCGCCCCGCCCCCAAACTACCTAGTCCCAGTCTTTTCATGTGAAAAAGCGCTGAATATTAAAAAAATATAAATAAAAATAGAAGGCCTAGGTCTAGGCTGCCTCATATCCAGACCTTGTGTATATAATAAATGATATTATAATAACGATCAGATTTAATATTCTATAGAGACGAACCAGTCCGTCAAGTCAATTCGCGTCATCCGTCTGACAGATCTTCGGTCTTAGTGTAAATACAAAACAAGAGTCCGAGAACCCCACCCGACAGAACCAAATGATAAAATATTTTTGTAGATAAAAATTACTGGTGTAAACTTTATACATATTTAGACCTAACCAGGAGTGTTAGAGTGTCCTCCAAATGCTCCCTAACAATATCTATTCAGGTGCAACAACCACATACAGCGCAAAAATTAACCATTTTAATACAAAATTATTATAAAGTTTTAGAAAAGTTGCTTTGTTTACATAAGTTATATTATGCATAGATTGCTAAGTTGTCCTCTAGATGCATCGTCACCGGCGCTGTGACGTTGTCGAGTAAGGTCTGAAATGTGTAAAATTTACACTTGCAATTACCATTTACAAAAACCCTTAAACACATGACGAGCTATTTTCGTCTGTTGTAGGTTACTGCAGTGGATCCTCCCCACACACCGCGGCCATTTATGTACACTAGTTTAGCACCAAACACAAGCACTCTAACCTAATCACCCACCTACCTACTGTAAACCAACTACTTACCCACTGTACCTGCTCTAGCAAAAACACAGACCCACCCGCCTACCTGTATTTTATTCCATTGGATCCTGCCCACACATCTGGGGGCATTTCTCCATGCCAGTTTTACACCAAACACAAGTTCTTTTGCATCCATTTCGTACGTTCCTCTGTCTTCGATCTCTTTTAAAACTTGCTGTACTCTTGTGCTATGTGCCGGAGTGTCCTCTCTGAAATCAAGTTGTATTTTGTTTGTGATGTTTCGCCAAATGAATGTGCATCCACACCGGGCAAGCTGAAAAGTTTGCCTGACCACGGTGGGAATCGAACCCCGCGACCTTTGGGCGTGAAGAAGACTAACTGTCTTACTTACTTTTTCAAAGAAGCGTAATATTGTCTAAGAGAATCCACAGCATCTTTTTTCGCCACTTCTTTCGGCATCAACTCTCCGTTTGAGATATTTTTCTTGGAAACATAATGGAGCCCTTGCAGCGATGCTCATCACAATGTGATAGCTAAATAGAATTGTCACGTTTGTATTAGTTTGTATAAAATTTGGGGCCAGTCGAACGATTGGATAAAGTTCGGTCGAAGACTTGATCAAACTTCATCCAGTCCTAGGACTTGATCGAACTTCATCCAGTCCTAGGACTTGATCAAAACTTTATCCAGCCCTAGGACTGGATCAAAACTTTATCCAGTCCTAGGACTTGATCGAACTTCATCCAGTCCTAGGACTTAATGAAACTTCACCCAGTGATCGTAGGACTTTATCAAAACTTTATCCAGACCTAGGGCTTGATCAAAACTTCATCCAGTGACCAATGACTATGTAAACATGACGTTGAAATATTTGTGTTGTAATTAACCAAAAATGCAGGACTTTAATTAATAGTGTCTGTTCAGATCTATTAATGTTAATTTTTTGTTTGTATTTTCCAACTATATATGCTTTTCAATACTAAATTTACGTTCGAATTTGCACACCAAAGCGTTCGTATGGAAAATTTTATCTCACTTGCAGGCTTGCTCGCTTTTCGTATGAACACAAATTGAATATGTTATATACCTTAAACTTGGTTTCAAAGCTGTAGAGATACAAAGTAGTGGTTTACATTATCAAAATTTCTGTCATCACAGCAGGAATTTTGCATGATTGGGTAAATTCTAAGTTTTGAAGGATTTGTAAAAAATGTTTGAGGGAACTAACTTAGTGTAGTGTTTAACACACGACTCACTTCCCTCACATTTCTTAAGTCTCGTTCACACTATCAAAGTTTCTGTGATCACAATAGGAATTTTGCATAGGTAAATTCTAGAAAATTAAGAAATGTTTGAGGGAACTGACTTAGTGTTTAACACACGACTCACTTCCCTCACATTTCTTAAGTCTCGTTTACACTATAAACGTTTCTGTGATCACAACAGGAATTTTGCAAAGGTAAAATTAAGAAATGTGAGAGGGAACCGACACAGTGTTTAACACCCAATCAGTTCCCTCAAAAATTCTGTACAAATCCTTCAAAACTTACATTTTGACAGTGTAAATCAGCCATTAACAAAGGTCATACGAATCTTACTCAAGCCTGGTTCACACCAGCAATTTTCGGCGATTTTCTCCTTCTGGCAAATGCCATCGAGTGAACTCGCAGCCAAAAGTATGGAATCGCGTTTTGGACCTATACATTTCTAAGTCTTTTGCATGTCATTCATTCAGTCACATCCGCCAGGAGGAGAAAAAATCGCCGACGAAATTGCTGGTGAGAACCAGGCTTCAAGTGAGTTTCCCAGTTAGATCGTCAGAAGGAGCGCCTTTCACCTCTGAGATCGTGGGTTCGATTCTCACTACGAACTCATGTGAAAAGAGTCAGTCAACGCTCTGCCGAAAGTCGTGGGTTTTCTCCGGGCGCTCCAGTTTCCTCCCACAGGGAAAGTTGACAGGGTGGGTTAGGATAAACGCAGTTAAGAAAGTAATATCACAATTGTTGTAAAGATAGAATAGTCTAGGCTGAGTAACATGAGCGTAATACTTGATGTAATCGGTCACTGAAAAGCCCCAATGGGAATAATGTAATATATGAACAGGCCCTTACGTCAGACTTTTGCTGGTGAAGTGTGTCTGTAATTTGCTTCCCAGTGATCCAGTTTCTAAGCCGAACAAATTTCTGTTTCTTTTCGCCGCCTTCTCCATTTTACGTTGCCTTGTTCCCACCATGACCATTGGCTATTTTGTTGTTGTTGTTGTTGTTGTTGTTGTTGTTGTTGTTGTTGTTGTTGTTGTTGTTGTTGTTGTTGTTGTTGTTGTTGTTGTTGTTGTTGTTGTTGTTGTTGTTGTTGTTGTTGTTGTTGTTGTTGTTGTTGTTGTTGTTGTTGTTGTTGTTGTTGTTGTTGTTGTTGTTGTTGTTGTTGTTGTTGTTGTTGTTGTCGTCACCATTCTCAATTTTCGGTGATTTTAATGCTTTCATAGATGAGCTTGTCTTGGCCGGAGTAAAGACAAATTGGCTGGGAGTCGTTTCGTTTGAATGTGTCCTGCTCAACAGCTTCTTCATTGTGTGTTCCTAGTGGGAAATTTGATTTCATATATGGTGAGTATTTAAAGTTATTCCTCTGCGCTCTATCGGGGGATCTCATTAAGTAGATGCTGGTCGGTTTCAGTTGACACTTTATAATAGAGACCTTACGATTTTAGGACGGCAACGGCTACCAATACAATAGATCATTGAAAAGACTTGAAAAATTACAATATATGAATAATTTAGACATGCATTGTCCTCGCTCTGTTTACAACGCCAAATCACAGATTTTCACGTCTTGATACAACGGCTGCATTGCAAGCCGCAACAAGTGCAACTTCAAACTGGGTTCAGGACCATAAAACCCATGCCTTCAACTTCTAAGACTGTATTAAATTCATACGATTGATAATGTACGACGAGTTATCTTTACTACCATTTATTTGAAGGAGTTTGTTTTGGCCGTCGTCGTCGCGTTGCCGTCCTAAATATAAAATAGTAAGGTCTCTAATAGGACTTAATCAAACTTTATCCAAGAGACAAATTTGGCTAATAATGTTTGTTTATACCCAATTCAAAACTTTACATAACTCATAACGCCTAATTATCATTGTTCTAGTATACAAAAGCATAAAATAGAACAAAGGTAACTAAGCTTGATGTTAAACACACAGTTCGCTCAAACGTTTCTTACAAATCCTTCAAAACAATTTACTGATGCAAAATTTCTACTCGGATTACAGAATCTTTGATAGTAAAATGTAACGTGGTTATATGTTGTTATAGGTATATAGTCTCGTATTAAAATATTTCACTAACAATTTATTAATTGAATTAAATTTATTACAAAATCTGAATGGCAGCTAAGAGCTGAATTGTACAGAGTTGACATTTAAAATACATGGTAAAACTAATACATATAGTAATATACGGTATATTAAAACTAAAATTTATATTACAATTAAAATGAATCATTATATGATACGATACTAGAAGGAATAAAACTTTTACTAAATCTTGTAGTCTTACAATTAATTAAGTTAATATGCTGATCGTTACGTAGATTGTAAGTACGTAAGTCCTCGCGTTTATTAGGTATAACTCCCGGTCCAATTTTGACGGTTCGCAACTTCGCACGAGTTTTATGTGGCACTTCGAATACAACCGAGGAATTAAATCGTATTAAATCAAAACTGACAAGCCTTGTATGAATTGTATTTAATCGCAATATCACAATAATCCAAGACCTGACGTCAACGATTTGTCCTCTATATAGTGCCACAATCGCAGGTATCGCACTTAGAACGGTTTCAATATCAAACGGTTTAGTTTACTATAAATTATATTATTCGCAAGTTCGCAAAGATCAACACACGCATACTATATGTTTCTACTCGCACACTATCTCAATCCAAAGGTATATAAGAGCCTGGGCTCTAGTGTCCAACATTTCGCGAGAGCGCTTACATTAGGGATAAGTTCATTCAATTTATTTTCCGGGTTGAGAAGTTTCTTAAAATAGGATTTACATAAATTATTTCGTCTTTGAGAGAGCAACGATATTTCATGAACTTCCAAGGCTTTGCGGTATGACAGGTCAGGACATATTATTCGTAGGGCTCGCTTCTGAATTCTTTCGATTTCTTCCTTTAAATAGTCAGGGGAGCTTAAGTTCCAAACCTGGCATGCATATTCAAGCACAAGTCGTATACATGTGGTATAGACTTGAATTAGAGAACTCCCTCCAAGACCGCTGCGATGCGTTTAAGCACTCGGAGAAAAAAAAGTCTCTTTGATGCCTTGTATACTATGTGTTCAACATGGAAGTTCCAACTAAGATCAGAAGAAAAGTACAGACCAAGAACCTTTGCTGATAAAAATGGGGACATACAGTGATCTTTAATAAACAATGGTCGAAGATTAGGGACGTCCTTAGCGAACGAGATAATTAGCTCTTTGCATTTAGAACGATTAAGCATCATATCATTTTCCGTGCACCATTGATCGATATTATTAATAACGGATTGCAGGTTACTTTGACAACCTTTACCGATTGTTTCGGAGAGACTAGTGTCGTCAACATGTTTCCATCTATCTTTGTGGTTAATAGCCAAATCGTTGACCATGATGAGGAAAAGTAATGGGCCAAGGATTGTACCTTGCGGGACGCCTCCATTTACCAAGGACCAATCAGAGAACGAAGAACCCAATTTCACCCTCTGTCTTCTTTGCATCAGGAAATCAATAACCCAGTTTATTAAGGATTTATCAATATTTAGTAATTGCATCTTTTTTATCAGGATTTTGTGGTTGATTCTGTCGAATGCTTTACTAAAGTCAAGCAAAGAAACTTGAACTTGACATTAACTAAGAACACTAAAATGGTAACCCAAGCTTTCAGACGAACGCGACCATCGTCAGGGATAAATGCTATAAACTTCGTTCAACTTTATATTATGCATATAATTTACATTTGCATACTTAAACCTAATTAGAACATGATTAAAACCCCGTACAATTTTAAAACCTGTATAGTATACAAAAGATTAAAAACTGATAGTATGCATTGACAACAATCGAAAAATAAATCATAGTTAAGGAGGCTCCCTACAGTTCCGTGCAAGATGTTCGCGGGACAAGTACGTGAACTATCCCACGCAACTGCATGATCAAAACAAAACAAAAATTGACCATGCTTTTTTTTAAAATAAAGCTATTTCTGAAAGGTTTCTAATGGAAAAAAGCGTTGAATAATACTTCGTTTTGAGTGCCAAATCACTTGCGAGTCTATACAGCAATTCTACATATGATACGAATATCAGTAGACCAAAAAATAGCTACGAAACAATATTTTTAAATTTTTTTATACACTGTCAAATGACTCAACTGTAAAACATTTGCAAAATTGCATACAAACGTTTAAAAAGTTGTTTACTTCTCAAGAAAACGTTCACGTTTTTAGTCGTGTTTCTACAAGATTAAAGTGATTATATCATTTATATGTAAACAGAAAAATATTTCAGTTTCATAGCCAAATTGTTCATTTTTAGCAAAAAGTACAAAACCAAACATGAAACAAAAAAACACGTCCACCTGTTAATAGGCTGTTACAGCTCAGAGATTGAGTAAACGGCAGGATTCAATTAGCTTCAACCTTGTTTTCATCGATTTAATCCTTCACAATAATCCTTGGCTGTCCATAGCACTCAAATAAATCGAAAAGTTGACAAAAACAAAACAGTAAAAACAACATTGCGGCTCGCTTTTGCGGAATGAAAACTCGTTCTGCGCCCGCGTACAATCTTTTACTACTCAGCGACGCTTTTCAATAGGGGAATTTCTCGAGTTACACGAGGCTATTTTCTAACTTTATTTGCATTTTACTCATTAGTTTCATCGGTGACCTATCTTCAAATTTTGACCACGAATTTATTTTGCGGTAAATTTTATAAATTTCAAATTCTAAAAAAATCTGTAGTGTGGAAATTTCGCAATAAATTTTTCGCTTTTAAAAAAATCACACACTACAGAATTTTTTTAAACTTTCACCACAGTTGCAGAGCATCATTCCTTATTGATATATGAAATAAAAAAGATAGGTCACCGACATCGTTTTTGAGATAGCGGCACATTTATGGGTTAAATTGGAAGGCTTTATGCTGTCGTCATGTTGCCATGGAAACATTGACATCGTCGAAATCTAGTTCGAAATATTCCTTAGGTGACCAATATTGCCACCAAGTCGAAAAGAATTCGCGTTCTGCACGAATAAGCCTGTTTTACGGAATTATTGCTTAAACAAGAATAACTGTAGGGAGCCACCTTAAGTGAAAATGTCATCCAATAAGAAGCGCCTATTTGAGAGTTCATCACTATTTAACTACAAAATAGTGATTTAAAAAGTGATTAAGAATTTTATACAACCGGCCCTTGAAGTGTAACTTGAGTCGGTGTTTACATCCACGAAAATTTTAACTCGCTCACGCCATCCTGACTAGTACAGCCGGAAGTTTTTATCAGGTTTTGGTAGGTACAAAGTGCCGGTTGTACTAGCCAGGATGGCGTGTGATTGATGACGAATCGCTTGTAAAAACGCGGACAAATACTTGCTTGAGTCAGACTTCTGGTGTACCTTCCTATTCTGTGATCATATCAAGCTTTATATAGTCTGTCAGTTAGACTTTAGTCTGCAAACCAGGCTTTGAGGCGCATTTCCACTCAGGAAAATTTTGTAAAATGTGACTGGCTGACACAAATTTTCTGCTGGAAAAAATTTGCAACTTTTAACAATGATATTTTGGGAAAATTTTCTTGAGTGGAAATCTTTTTTGAGTGGAATATTCAATAGTAATATTCAATAGTTCTAAAATATTATGTAAAATTTAGAAGTTAAAGGATAAATTGTCACTATAAAAAGGTATTCTTGTTCACGTAGGCATAACAGGGCTGACCTAATTAAATTAAAAGAAACTTTTGTTCTCAAATAAGCCATTGTCGTTGTATAAGGCCTATTATATTTTTCCGCGAGCTTCGATGCCAACATTTTGTGAATTTGGTCCTTTAGCCTGTTTGTTCGGAATCATATAAGCCTATATATAATATATATAATTATATTTATATATATATATATATATATATATATATATATATATATATATATATATATATATATATATATATATTATGCTATATGTTATATATTATGCTCTTATATATATATTATTATATCTATTATGCTCTGGTTATCCATTGAGCACTCTATCATTGGTTTTTATAACCCTACACAAACTATTTTATATATATATATATATATATATATATATATATATATATATATATATATATATATATATATATATATATATATATATATATATATATATATATAAAATAAGTGCAACGACTCAACAAATTCCACTAGGCATCTTTATTACTATTAGTTTCGTATCTGATGAGTGCCAGCCACATCTTGTGGTACGAAACTAATAGTAATAAAGATGCCTAGTGGAATTTGTTGAGTCGTTGCACTTATTTAATTATGCTCTGG